CAAAACCTTGAACTAGAAATTGAGGAAAGGGCTAAGCCCAACATATTAACTTATTTGATGAATAGAGTCCTAGATTTGTTGATGGTTAAAAGATGCTATATTTGTCAACGTTGCCTAGTGACTACACTATTTTGAAACAGTGAAGAATGAATGACTTTACATTAATCTAATGTACTGGAATTTTTTCTGATAAGTCAGCATGTTTTGTTCAACTTAACATTACCACCATGTGTTCAGATATGACATAATGTGATAAACAGCAGTGGTGTCTCACAATGGAACATGACACAACATGATGTGTCAAGTTTCTTTTGAACCTTTCTTGAGATCCAATATCAGCCAAAAGGAGGTCATTTTAATTATCAGATGATTAATTAATTAGACAGTTAATTGTCAGAGGTAGATGAATCCAAAGACAATGTGGTTCTGTACATGCTTGTTGGTACACAGAGGGAAACATGACATTTTAAAATGTACCTACTAAAGGAAAAGAAATCACAGTTTAAGGATTTCAATTATTTTTTATTCAAGTAACATTCATGAGTAGCTACTATGTATTAGGTTGTGTGAAGCATGCTCAGAAGTAGAGAACCTTTCCTGCCCTCAAAGGGCTGATATTCAGGTTGGAAACACAAAGCTTTCCTAGAAACAATCTGGACATTGAAAGAGTGCTTAATAGTTTTTTTTTTTTTTTTTTTTTTTTTTGCTGAGGAAGTGTCCCCCTGAGCTAACATCTGTGGCCAATCTTCCTCTATTTTGTATGTGAGCCACAGTCACAGCATGGCTGATGAATGGTGCAGGCCCGCCCTGGGATTCAAACCTGTGAACTCAGGCCACTGAAGCGTAGCATGCTGAACTTAACCACTATGCCACCGGGCTGGCCCCTAGATTTTTTTTTTTAAGTCAGCAACGACGGAACAAGCTCTAAGGCAATGAATAAAAAAATACAAACTATACTATAACATAGTACTTTTCCACTCTTTTCTTTTTAGGGGAAGCTACCATATTCCAGGACAAGGGTGACTGGCATAACAAAAGTCTTTTAAAAACATAGTAACGAAGTCCCAGTATCAAACACTCTTATGAGTTAGATAGAAACCAAAAAAATTAAGATCCTATGTAAAACTTTAATAAATTAGTATTTTAAAGTTATTGTCTACTTTTTATTTTTCTTCTAAAAGCAGAAATTCAGGACATGACAAATACCCGGTTTCACATTTTTATCTAATGAAGAGTTTTTTATCTGTAAAATACCTAAGTTCCCATCTCTCTTGCTTCCAGAAAGAGCTGGAGACTCATAACCCTAACGTAGGAGATTGCCAATATTGTGAGTTCCTTTATACATATTTAGAAGGGTTTTTGGTTTTTTGTGGGGAAGATCAGCCCTGAACTAACATCTGCCAATCCTCCTCTTTTTGCTGAGGAAGACCAGCTGTGGGCTAACATCCATGGCCATCTTCCTCCACTTTATATGGGACGCCACCACAGTATGGCCTGCCAAGTGGTGCATTGGTGCGCGCCCGGGATCTGAACTGGTGAACCCCGGGATGCCGAAGCGGAGAGCGCGCACTTAACCACTTGCGCCACTGGGCCAGCCCTCGTTAGAAGGGTTTTTTAACAATCAATGGCAATGAATGCATCATGCAGAATTATTGTCATATACATTTCTTAAGCATCTATTTGCATGAGATTCCGTCCTAGGCATTATACAAAACAAAATAAGCAGGTAGTTAATAATCTGCAATCTAAGATGTAAAGTACTTTTCATTATTCTAAATTAATAAAGAGGTTTTTGTTTCATGTTTTTTTTCCCCAATGTCTCAAATTAACTCCATTGACCTTTCCAGGCCTCGGTCTCTTTATCTGAAAAATGAGGATGTACCACCCACTCACAGAGCCCAGTAATTGCCAACAACTTCTTTAAATCACGTGTGCTGTTTTCTAACCATACTATGTTAAAAATCAAAGATTGCCAGAATGTTAGGAGGGGCTTTTAGACAAGAAAAGAGCTATAGTGTACTCCAGTTGTGTGATCCAAAGTAGGAAGATCTCCCAGGCCCTCACTTAGATATAGCTGAAGCCGTTGTAATTTATTGCTTTTCTAGGATGCTTTCCAAAACAGTATTATGCTTCATCTCACCCCCCTTTCCTTCATGCCCACTTCCAATCCATCAGCAAGTTCTGCATGTCCTATCTCCGAAACATACCCGGAATTTATGCATTCTCTCCATGTCTAGCACCACCTTCCTATCTAGGTCAGCAAGAGATGCTGAGGGTGACAGCGATGGTCTCCTCAGGTGGGCATTGCCCCACCCAGCACATCTCCCACACTGCCGCAAGAGTGATGTGCTTTAAATACACCTCAGTGGGTCTATCCAAGCTCCTTCATTCTCAGTTGATAAACTTACTTCTTATTTCACTGAGAAAATAGAAGCAAGTTAAAGAGAACTTCCACAAAGTTCTGCCACCACATCTAGCCACGTACCTGTGTCCACAGTCACTCATTCTGCCTTTCTTCCTGTTACTCCACATGAATTGTTTCTGTTCCAATCTAAAGGGAACACTTACATTTGTCTTCTAGATCCCGTTCCTTCTTGCCTACTTGATGACTTTGCTCCAATGAGTGTCTCCTCTCCACCATCATCAGTTCTTCCTTCTCTACTGGCTCATCCCCATCAACAAACAAACACTATAATCTACCACACCATAAAAAGAAAATTCTCACTAAACCTCACCTGCCCACCTCCCTAAACCACTACTCCCTTCACTCTGAACTTCTCCCTGAACTTCAGACTCATATATTCAACTCCCCATGTAACACCTCTATGTGCATGTCTAAAAGGCATCTCAAACTGAGCACTTAATCTTCCCCAAACCTGTTCTTGTGCAGTCTTCCTCATCTCAGTGAATGGTAACCATCCTTCCAGCTGCTCAGATCAAAAACCCTGACTCCTCTCTTTTTCTCATCAGCAAACGTTGTCATTTCATTGCTCCTACTTTTGGGTTTCTTTTCATCAACTGTACTGCTACCGCACTGCTCTACGCCACCATCTCCCATCTTCTAAATTATTGCAAAAGCCTTCTAATCAGCCTCCCTGCTACTTCCACTGTTGCCTCCTTTCAATCTATTCTCAACACAGCAGCCAGAGTAATCGTTTTAAACATAAGTTAAACGATGCCTCTCAGATGCTCAAAACACTGCAATGACTCCCCATCTCCTGCAAAGTGACAGCCAAAGTCCTTACAAATGTGTACTATTCCTTACATGACCTGAGCCGCAGTTGTCTCTCTGACCTTCACACCTTCTCTTCTCTTCCTTTTGCATCTACTGGTCTCCTAGCTATTTCCCAAACGTGCCAAGAATGCTTCCACCTCAGGATCTTTGTACTTGCTCTTCCCTCTGCCTGGAAAGTTCACTCACTAAAGACCCTCAAGGCCCACTTTCTCACCTCCTTCAGGTCTTTGCCCAAATTCACCTTCTCAGTGAGGCCTTCCCTGATGCCCTATATGAAACTGCACCTCCCCCCACCCCCCAACCAGACATTCTCTATCTTCCTGCCCTGCTTTATTTTTCTCTATAGCAACTACGTCATCTAACCTACTCTATGCTATCTTCATGAGAGCAGGGAGATTTTTGTCTGTCTTGTTCACTGCTGTGCCCTCATGCCTAGAATAGTGCCTGGTCTGTAGCAGGTACTCAAAAAGTACTCAAGGAATGAGTGAAAATGTTTTTCAAAAGGTAATGCCTGATGTTGGTGAGGGTACAGGGCAACAATTACTCTCATATTCTGTTGATAAAAATACAAATTTTAACAATTTTTCTGGTGGCTAATTGGGCAGTAAGGATCCAAAACCTCAAAAACATAGATATTATTCAACCCAGCAACTACATTCTTATAATTGAGCCAAAGAAATTATCATGGATATGTGGGGAAAAAAAGTTTGTATACGAATGTTTATTGTAGCACTCTCTGCAATAGTAAAAAATTGGAAACTATCATAAAAGACAAACAAAAGAGATTTTGTAGGATAAACTAGAGTACAGTATACCTTTACAATGGAATCTTACTCATCTAGTCATGGTAATATTTTAGAAAATCATATAATGATGAACAAAGTTGTTAATAATAGATACTATCTAACAAAATCAAATTCTGTGAAATGACAATATATGCAGAGAAAACGATTGGAAGTAGATGTCTCTGTTTATCTCTGGATGATGGATTTATGCATAATTTTATTTCCTTTTGTTTGTCTGTATTTTCTTAATTGGCTATAATGAATAGGTATCACTACTATAATAAGAAGGTGTTGCTAATAACAATAGTTAACATTTACTGAGCATTTACAATATGCTGACTACTTCATATGTACCATCTCATTTAATGCTTAAAGCAGCACAATGAGGTATTATCTTAGTCTGTTTGGTCTGCTTAACAAAAATATCATTGACTGAGTGGTTTATAAACAACAGAAATTTATTTCTCACAGTTCTGGAGTCTGGGAAGTCCAAGATCAAGGTGCTGATCTGGTGTCTGGTGAGAGCCTGCTTCCTGATTCATAGACACAATCTTCTCACTGTGTCCTTATGTGGTGGAAGGGGAGAGGGAGATTACTGGGGCCCCTTTTATAAGGGCACAAATCCCATTCACATGGGCTTCACCCTCATGACCCAATCCCCTCCCAAAGGCCGCACTTCCAAATACATTCACATCAACATATGAATTTTAGGGGAACACATTCAGTCTGTAGTCAGTATGTACTATGATTATTCTCATAGTGCTGCTTTGAAAATTGAGGCTTACTGAGTTAAGAATTTCTTCAAGGTCCCACAGTAAATGGCAAAGTCCTGACTGGAACCCAGTTGTCTCTGACGCCAAAATCTGTGCTCTTAGTTACTATAGGGGTAAGATAGATAAGAGGTGAAATATTCTTTCCTTTTATTATTCAAAACAGACACACACTGAAAGCTAACTAGAACAGAGATCACCAATTTCTGATTCTAAATTTCCATGTGACTGCTCCCCCTCAACTCCGTTAGCAGCTTCCACAAGCCACTAACCTCCCTGTTGCCTCCGTTTCCACAGCAGCAGCTTCTTCCATCAGACCCTGGCCTTCACCTCGTTTAATCTGGGGCAGGATATCACGAGTGATTACTGTGACCATCTCAGGACCTCCCCAAGCACCTCTGGGTTAGGGCTAAGGAGTTACAAGACCCCAGAATTACAACCATATAAATAGAATATAAAAAATGAGGGATATTTATAGTGTATCAACTAAAGATATAGTTTCTTTAGTGAGATCTCTGACACCAGCAAGTAGGAACTTAGCAAAAATGGGTAATCGATTTGAGGCCAGGGGTTAATCATTCCTACCGAAGAGTGAAGGAAAATCCATAAGATGAAATGACCAATCTTTTTCCATATAACTAAAAAAGGCCTTCAAACTTTCAATCACTATATTAAATATGCAACGACTAGTTTCAAGAAGGAGAAAATATTCATTGTAATGAATGCATGTTAAGAAAACACCACCTCAAGGGAGGGAACAACATGGCAACATAGGAGGGTCCTGAACTTCCCTCCTCCCTTGGATACACAGAATGTACAGTGACACACAGAGCAATTCCCCCCGAGAGAAGTCCAGAAACTGAGTGACTCCTACACATACAGCGAATGAGAAAATACCCACATCAAAACAGGTAGGAAAGGCTGAGACATACTCTTGCTATAAATCCCACCCCTGGCACAGCACCATACAATCAGGAAGGAACCCCCAACTTCCAGCTTCTCCCTGAGGAGCAAAGAGTTTGGACTGCACATCTAGCACCCTATCTTCTAAGGATCCCATCCAAGGGATGAGCCCCCAAAATACCTAGCTCTGAAAGCCAATGGGGTCCATGAGACCCACAGGACTGTAGCAAACAAAGAAGCAATTCTTAACAGAAGCACAAGCTCTCACCATGTCTATCCTCCCAAGGCTCAGTGCACAGGGAGCAGGCAAAAATGTCCAACCCAATTTTTCCCTGGAAGGAGCTTAACTACATAATTTCCCAGCTGCTGCCTAAATGTCAGCTTCTAATTAGCCTCCATCTGGGTGCTGACTGTGATCCTATCCTTTAGGGCACTAATGGGTCTTGGCACACCTTCAAATGTTGAGTGCCACAAAGAAGAAAGATGGAAGCTTGGACAACGACAAAAGTTAGAGAGACAACCAGGAGCTCGGGCTGGGCTGATTGATGAGGTTTGTTTCCTACATGAGACCTGTCCATCAATACTGGGAGAAGTGACTGTTTTGTCTAATGCACAGAAACCAACACAGAGAGTCAAGGAAAATAAAGAAACAAGGGAATGTGTTCCAAGCAAAAGAACTAAAAAGAACAAACTATGCTCAAAGTTAGTAGAAGGAAGGAAATAAAGATCAGAGTAGAAACAAATGAAATAGAGACTTAAAGACAATAGAAAAGATGACTAAAACTAAGAGCTGGTTCTTTGAAAAGATAAACAAAATTGACAAATCTTTAGCTAAACTAAGAAAAAAAGAGAAAAGACTCAAATAAAATCAGAAATGAGAGAGGAGACATTAAAACTGATGACATAGCAATACTAAGAATCGTAAGAAACTAATATGAACAATTATACACCAACAAATTAGATAACCTAGAAAATTCCTAGAAACATATGATCTGCCAAGACTGAATCGTGAAGAAATAAAAAATCTGAACAGACCAATTACTAGTAAAGAGATTAAATCAATAATCAAAAACCTCCCAACAAAAAAAGTCAGGGGGACCGGCCCGGTGGCGCAAGCAGTTAACTGTGCGTGCTCCGCTGCGGCGGCCTAGGGTTCGCCGGTTCGGATCCTGGGTGCTCACCAATGCACTACTTGTCAAGCCATGCTGTGGCGGCATCCCATATAGAGTAGAGAAAGATGGGCACGGATGATAGCTCAGGGCCAGTCTTCCTCAGAAAAAAGAGGAGGATTGGCATCAGATGTTAGCTCAGGGCTGATCTTCCTCACAAAAAAAAATAAGTCCAGGACCAGATGGCTTCAGTGGTGAATTTTACCAAACATTTAAAGAAGAATTCATATCAATCCTTCTCAAATTCTTCCAAAAAATAGAAAAGAAGGGAATACTTCCAAACTTGTTTCATGAGGCCAGTGTTACCCTTATACCAAAGCCAGACAAGGACACCACAAAAAAAAAAAATTAAAGCGAATATCCCTGATGAATATAGATGCAATAATCCTCAACAAAATATTAGCAAACCAAATTCAACAATACATTAAAAAGGTAATGCACCATGATAAAATTAGATTTATTCCAGGGATGCAAGGATGGTTCAACATCCACAAATCCATCAATGTGATTGATTAATGTGGTATATCACATTAACAAACTGAAGGATAAAAATCATATGATCATCTCAAATGATGCAGAAATGCATCTGAAAAAATTCAACATCTTTTCATGATAAGAACTCTTGACAAACTTCATATAGAAGGAATGTACCTCAACATAATAAAGGCCATATATGACAAGCCTACAGCTAATGTCATACTCAATGATGAAAAATTGAAAGCTTTTCCTCTAAAGAACAAGAAAAGGATGCCCACTCTCACCACTTTTATTCAACATAGTACTGGAACTTTTACCCAGAACAATCAGGCAAAAAAAGAAATAAAAGGCACCCAAATCAGAAAAGAAGAAGAAAAACTGGCTCTCTTTGCAGATAAAATAAGATAATATATAGAAAACCCTAAAGACTCCACCAAAAAAATGTTAGAACTATACACAAATTCAGTAAAGTTGCAGGATACAAAATCAATATACAAAAATTGGTTGCACGTCCATAGTCTAACAACGAACTATCAGAAAGAGAAATTTTAAAAAAGGATCCCATTTACAATAGCATCAAAAAGAATAAAATATCTAGGAATAAATTTAACCATGGAGGTAAAAGATCTGTACACTGAAAACTATAAAACCTTGAAGAAAGAAATTGAAGAAGACACAAATGAACAGAAAGATACCTATGTTCATGGATTAAAAGAATTACTAGGGGCCGGCCCGGTGGTGCAAGCGGTTAAGTGCACACACTCTGCTGCGGTGGCCCAGGGTTCGCCGGTTCAGATCCCAGGCGCGCGCTGACGCACTGCTTGTCAAGCCATGCTGTGGCAGTGTCTCATATAAAGTGGAGGAAGATGGGCATGAATGTTAGCCCAGGTCCAGTCTTCCTCAGCAAAAAGAGGAGGATTGGCAGATGTTAGCTCAGGGCCGATCTTACGTGCAAAAAAAAAAAATTAAAAAAAAAAAAAAGAATTACTATTGTTAAAATATTCATACTACACAAAGTGATCTACAGATTCAACACAATCTCTACCAAAATTCCAATGGTACTTTTCATTGAAATAGAAAAATCAATCCTAAAATTTATATTGAACCACAAAAGACCCCAAATAGCCAAAGCAATCTTGAGAAAGAACAACAAAGCTGAAGGCATCACACTTTCTGATTTCAAACTATATTACAGGGCTATAGTAATCAAAATATTATGGTCTTGGCATAAAAACAGACACACAGATCAATGGAATAGAATAGAGAGCCCAGAAATAAACGCATGCATATATGTTCGATTAATTTTTGACAAAAGAGCCAAGAATATACAATGAGAAAAGGATAGTCTCTTCAATAAATGGTGCTGGGAAAACTGGACAGCCACATGCAAAAGAATGAAACTGAGCCCCTATCTTACATTATACACAAAAAATCAATTCAAAATGGATTAAAGACTTGAACATAAGACCTGAAACCATAAAACTAGAAGAAAACATAGGAGATATGCTCCTTGACATTGGTCTCGGCAATGATTTTTTGGATTTGACACCAAAAGCAAAGACAACAAAACCAGAAGTAAACAAGTGGGACTGCATCAAAACTAATAAGCTTCTGCACAGCAGAGGAAACCATCAACAAAATGAAAAGGCGACCAATGGAATGGGAGACAATATTTGTAAAGTACACATCCAATAAGCGGTTAATATTCAAAGTAGACCAGGAACTTATGCAACTCAATAGCAAAATAACCCAATGAAAAGATGGGCAAAGAACCTAAATAGACATTTTTCCAAAGAAAACTTACAAACGGCCAGCAGATACAGGATAAGGTGTTCAAAATCACTAATCATCAGGGAAATGCAACTCAAAACCACAATGACATGTCACCTCACACCTGTTAATATGTCTATTATAAAAAAAGGCAAGAGATAACAAATGCTGACAGGGATGTGGAGAGAAGGGAGTCCTTGTACACTGTTGGTGGGAATGTAAATTGGTGCAGCCACTATGGTAGACAGTATGGAGTTTCCTCAGGAAACTAAAAATAGAACTACCATATGATCCATTAATTTCACTTCTAGGTATACATCCAAAGGAAACGAAGTCACTGTCTGGAAGAGATGTCTGTACTTCCGTGTTCATTGCAGCATTGTTCACAATAGCCAAGGTATGGAAACAACTTAAGTGTCCACTGATGGAGGAATGGATAAAGAAAATATGATATATATATACAATGGAATATTATTCAGCCTTAACAAAAGAAGGAAATTTTGCCATTTGTGACAACACAGATAAACCTGAAGGGCATTATACTAAGTGAAATAATCCAGACAGAGAAAGATAAATACTGCATGGTATCACTTATATGTGGAATTCAAAAAAGAAAAAAAGTTGAACTCATAGAAACAGAGAGTAGAATGGTGGCTGCCAAGGGCTGGAAGCTGGGGGAAATAGGGAGAGATTGGTAAGAGGGTACAAACTTTCAGCTATAAGATGAATAACATCTGAGGATCTAGTGTATCACCTGGTGACTATAGTTCATAATACTGTATAGTACAATTGAAATTTGCAAAGAGAGTAGAATTTAAGTGTTCTCACCAAAAAAGGGGGAAAAAATGTAAATATGTGAGGTGGGAGTCCTTTCACAATGCATATCAAATCACGTTGTACGCTTTGAATATATTACAATTTTATTTGCCTCAATAAAGCTGAAAAAAAAAAGAAAGAAAGAAAAGAAAACACCACCTCTCCATTATGCAGTTACCTTCTTCCAAGGAGTTGAAATCACTAAAAGAATTGGATTCCACACACTCAAAGCCAATACACCAGGCCAATTCTACATCCAAAAAGTTATGGCAATAATTTGCAGAGGGTTGTCCAATTCATTGCAAGTTTTGACTGAGCCCGCTATGTTGCTGACACTGTTAGAGCCTCTAGGAGTAATAAAAGAAAAAATAAAGGAGGAGGAAGAGGAGAAGAGCATGTTCTTGTCCTAAAGGTGCTCGTAACCCACTACTGGGGGACTCCCAGAGCGTTAGTTTGAAAATGAGCAAGTGCCAAAGTATCGGTTGGTCCCTCTGCCTCCACTTCTCACTGTCCTCTGTCCATTCTCCGTGCAGCAATCTGAGTGATTGCTTAAAAACATAAATCAGAGCTTGTACCATGAAGTTTAACATCTTCTCATGGCCGAGACCCCATCTCCTACCACACACCTCCACTCTCACCGGCATCAGACACACCAGCCTTCCTTCCCTGCCTCAGTCATGCCAAGCTCTCACCTGCCTTAGGGCCTCTGTGCTGGTCAGTCTCTCCCCTGATAGGGCTGGCTGCTCGTTTTCCGCAAGATCTCAGGTCCTGTGTTACCCACTGAGAAAGGCCTTCCCTAACAATCCAGCGTCAGCCAGCACCTCACCCCACCTGCGACACTCTCTGGCATACGTTCTCTTCACAGTACTTTTCACCATCTGAAATTGTCATATTTACTGTGTTCTTATTTATTATCTGTTTTCTCCTATTAGAAAATCAACTCCATGAAAGCACAAATCATGCCTATATTGTCCACTACATGTACGTGGCTTCAATAAACATCCATGGAATGAGTAAATGAAAGAAAAGTAGGCAGAAAGCAGCATGTCAGGGTCGACGAGTTATCCAAGAAGCCTCCAGGAACTCAAGGGCCTTGAAGGACACATGATGGTAAACCACTCAGAACCCGAGCTGGCTCTCCTTTACTGTTTTTCTCACTGGTAAAGCCTACCTCCCTCAACATCTGCAAAAATTAAACAAGTAAGCCAGAAAGCAACTGCTAAATGCTTACTGAATTTAATAACTTTATTTTTAAATAATGCCACACGATGCGTATCACTTCTGAGGAGAAGCTGTAAGAGCCAGTGGGGGGTTCACAGAGGTTTTCCTAGTTCCCAGCAGCAGGGTCCCAGATAGAGACTGCTCTATGTCTAGAGCAGTGACAAAATGAAGCCGAGTTGCAGGTAACCCTAACTGGTGTCGATGTGAGAAAAAAAGAAATCTACCCCAAGCAAGCTCCTTTCCCATCTCTAAGCCTCAAGCCTAACCTAACAAAAGTATGTGGAATGCAGAATCTTGTCAGCTTTTGTGACTTAAATGCTGTAAGTGTTTGCCTTAAACAAGTTTTTGGCTTCTATATCATGCTTTTATTTCTGGGAATACTTAACAAAGAAAAGAAATGTAAGGCTTAATCTCTCTCTCCATTAGATAGCCATACTCCTAAAGTTTTAAATCATTACTACTTGGAATAATTGCACCCCATCTCCAACACATGGTCCTTAACACCGTGTCATTTCGCCCACAATCAGGTGGGACACCAAAACAGATTATATGTTCAGTTGAATGAGATATGTGCAGAAAGCGCCTTAAGAAGCAAAGGCCCTTTTTCTATTCATGTCTTTAATACTAACGAACAAGAAAAGAAAGAGACAAGTGGAAAAGCAGCAAGAAGCATTTACTGGATAGTTGTTTGGGAACCAAGGAGGTGACAGATCTTTCCCTGGTGTGACAACAGGTCTTCAGCCTGGTGTTTGTCAGACTGATTGCGATACCTTTTTACTTGACGCATTGTATCCTGAAAAAACTCCAAGGCCAAAGAACAACTTGGTAAATAAGAAAAGGAAAACATACCATCTGAAATATGTAAAACTGCCTCAAATCTCAGATTGCACAGCTATTGCAAATTAATTTGAATGTGTGATAAGGAGTGTCACAAATACATACTTATGAAATTATTTTTTTTTTAACTTCTGGAAATGGAAAAGTACTCAAGCAGACACACACACAAACACATACTTTGTGGAGGGGAGGGAGATTGCCACATATGCGACAAAAGGTTAAATCTTTATTATATAAAACACAGTTTACAAATTAATAAGAAAAGACAACTGTCACAATAATAGATAAATGAACAATATGAAAAAGCAATTCAAAAAACAAGAAATTCAAATGTCCTACAAATTTTTATTCATATTTTACTCATTTAATCGACCAATATTTATTGAGTACCAAGTACGTGCCTGGCATTACACAAGACACCAGGTATATGCTGACGAGCAAAAAATGGCACTGCTCTAAAAGAGCACATAGTATAATATTAAACTCAACTCATAACTAAAGAAATTCAAATTAAAATGGTGTGTTGCCGGGCCGGCCCCGTGGCTTGGCGGTTAAGTGCGTGCGCTCCGCTGCCGGCGGCCCGGGTTCAGATCCCGGGCACGCACCGACGCACCACTTCTCTGGCCATGCTGAGGCCGCGTCCCACATACAGCAACTAGAAGGATGTGCAGCTATGACAGACAACTATCTACTGGGGCTTTGGGGGAAAAATAAATAAATAAAATCTTTAAAAAAAAAAAAAATGGTGTGTTGCCTATTAAATGTCTTCAGTTTAATTCTATAAATTTGGCAAGATACACTAAGAAGCTTAAAATTTTTCACACGCTTTGTCTTGGTAATTCCATACCTGGGAATTTTTCCTAAGGGAATAATCAGAAAGATGCAAACAGATTTATGTACAAGGATGTTAACTATGCTATTTATAATAGTGGAAGCTGGAAACCACCTTCGTGTTCAACAGTTGGTAATTTTTCCTAAAAATATTTACTGTCATTAGCAAATTCTCATCAAAAAGTGGGGCTGAAAAAAATCATGACACAGAACTGGAGATAGCGATAGCGTGATATCTATGTGTGATTATACGTATATTCTACATTTTCTACAGTTAAAAGTGTTAGTCTAACAATTAAGACAAGGGCTTTTAAAATAACCAACATGAATGCTTTTGACAATGATGCCATCTCGTAAGTTAATTGCCAAATAAACCACCTAAATATGCTCTTTTTAATGTTCACAATTGGCAATATTTCGGAGCATACTGGGGCTACGAAAAAACTCCTAATGTTGGAAGCCATACAAATCAATTCTCTTAATTGAGCAATAAAATGCTACTTTGTTTAAATTGTTTTTAAAGGAAGGTTCAAAGTTTAGCTTCACATTCACCTCTTCCTTTGTAAGAGAAACATAGCCTATAAAATCATTTAACACCCCAGACCACCGAGTTGGACTCAGGTCTAGAACCTTCTCCGTTTTGCGCTGACTCACAAGGGTCCCCAGCCGGCCGGCCGTCTGCAGGTGGCAGCCTGCGGCGGGAAGCCCGCAGCTCCACTTCCCGCCTGGGGGAGGCACTTCGGGCCCTCGCCGAGATTTCAGAAACCTGTGCGAGCCGCTCCCTTATGGCTGAACGTTCTTATTTAGTAAATATTTATTTACCTCTCTGAGGACTCAGGACTAATCTCTGCCACTTCTCTTTAATAATGAATGTGAACTTCAAATGCGGCACAACGCAACCGACTAATCCGTGCTCGCCGGGAGGTGCAAAACTGCAACCCGCCGCTGGACGTGCAAGACAGCCTTTCCTGTTCCAGCTCGCGGCGGCCCAGAATACACTTACGCCGAGCGGGAAGATGTCGGTGCAGCCGCCCCCCGCGCGCCGGCCGCGGGAGCCGAGACCCATCTGCCCACGGCCGGGCGGTGCGCCCCTTCCCCTTTCGCCCCGGGGACCCTCAAAGGCCGCCGCTCTGCCTGCTCCACAATCTGGGCTGCTGCTCCCTCGGGCTTTTATTGCTTCCTTTGAAACTCGCCGTTCAGTTGCAAACCAGTTAGCCCTTTCCGTTTCCCCGGGCGAGCGGTGGAGGGCGGAGAGCGCCCCGCGCGCCCTCGCCAGCGGAAACGCGTGGGCTCGGCGCAGGGCGCTCCCGGCCGCCGCGCCTCGGCTCGTCCAAAGGGGGTCAGCGCGCGGGGCGGCGTTTACCCAGCCCGCCAGGCTTTGGTCTTCAAGGTCTGTTTTTACGTACTAGGAACGGAAGGGTCGCCCCTTTGATGGTTTCATTTTGTAACGTGAAAAACAAATTATAAGGGCCACCTCGTACACCTGTGTCATCATCAAAGCAGCGCCGTCTCACCTTCATCCACTGCTGATTTGAAGATGCCACTGGGCCTTCGGAAATGTTGAAAGATTTTTGTCCCAGACACAGGGATAAAGATATGAATGTGTGTTGGGACATAACTCATAAACACAACTCACATTTATCTAAAATTCTGTTTATCCAGGATGTAATCTGAATTCTTTATTGCCCATTCTGATGAGGGCATGAGCGTTTGAGGTGGAGCTGACTACAGTTTTCTGATGTCACGCTATGCCTTTAAATGAGAACTATATTGCCCCCAAATTATTCCATCTTTCCTATAAACAGATCTTAAGTGAAATTTCTTTTCAAATTTAACACATTATGTTACATTTTTAAACGTGAATTAATTTAGAAGAGGTTGCTAGCACCATACGAATTGATATTAAAATGGCTTTGCCTTGTTCACACAGAACCCTGCCAGTGTACTTTAATTTTACCCACTTAATAATCCCCAGGTATGGAGAAAACATTGGAAGCGCTTGTTCAACCGCTCACAGAAAACTGCGCAGCGGGCGTTTCAGTGATGAGCTTGGAGCGCCCCTCAGTGGAAGACGGTGAGCACTACAATTTCTTTCTTACAGGTGAGTTCGTTGTGCTGCTGTTTTGGGAACCTAGTACTTCTTCCCCTTTGCCCACCATCAGGTCGGATGTTACTTTTCCGTTAACATCTGTGAGTTGAATCTCACTTCCTTTCTTCCATGGAAACATAAATATTTGTTGAAAATAATGAATGTATCAATCCTTTTGTCTCCTCTCCTCCCAAAGCTTTCCAGCTGATAAAAGGCAAGAACATTTATTTTCTCGCAAAACCCATAGCTGTGTTAGTCCCCATTTTGACATTTAGGAGCAGACAGAATGAAATGGCAAAGAGCACAAATAGGTGTTATCTCATGTGCCAGCTCTCCACAGTTGGCAGTGGCTGCCACAGAAGGATACTGAGGCCAAGTCTGGGCTCAGAAGGAAAAGCATGATGCAATGAGTGGGCAGGTGCAGAAAGGAAGTTAATCACTCTGTGCCCTAGATGCTGAACCCTGTAGTATTGATCTGTAACAGTGCTGGCCATTGGCTAATAATGATGGAGTTTATTTAATTTATTTGTCTTTGTTTTCATCTCAAAAGTCAAAACAGTGTATTCATCATATCCCTTTAACCCTGCCAAACAATAAATCCCATTTTTATTTATGTGACAATAAATTTAAAAGCTCTCAATAATTATTGCTATAGCCTCTACCCTGCTCTTCTAGATGCTGACCCATTCCATCCTTCATATGCCATTCTATTCCTCAGACTTACTTGGATCTGTGCACGTCTGTGTGCTGGTGCTCCCCCAGTCATCCAGCTTATAAGTAGGAACTTGTAGAGAGGGGTATTAATTATTATGGTGGCATGAGCTGGGACTATCCTGGGCAGATTGGGACATGTGGTCACTCTACTTGTAAACTCTAAAGTTCAAGGGCCAGGGTCACTGTGCACTCCAAAATGTGAGAGCCGCTAGGTAACCATACACCTGCTAAGCTCGCACCTCAGTGAATTCCCCTCAATAAATATTCTTCAGGAATGGTGGATGGGCTGCCTAGTCATCCAGTCTTGTTCGCTCAACAGCAGACATGTCTAAGTGCAAATCTCAGACTCTTTGGAAGCTTCCAGCTAACTGCTGGAGGAAACTTAGATTTCTGCCACAGACAATTGCCTACTTCTAGACCCTCAGAAGTTGAGGTCAGAGATGACATTTTAAGCACCCGGAAGCCCAGAACAGGTATGTTTCCACTTTACACAGTGATATGTCCCTGAAAAAGTGTACATCAGGTGAATCAAATTATTAATTCACTGGAGAAACTGGCTAAATAATGAAACCTTGGAGTGAACCTCCCACAAAAAAATTTTAACTCCTTTTAAAATGCAAACAATTTACTGTTTTATAAATCTGGATTTTTGCAGAATTGGTTTTCTTAACACAGAAAGTGTGGGCTAGAACTTTGGTTTCCCTCAGAGATGGTGAACATCTGAGTCATGTTCTAGTTATACTCTAAATGGAGATATTTTCATTCAGATGCTTTTAACTACAAGTGACCCAAACCCACGTCTGTCTTACACAATGAAGATAATGCATTAGCTCATGTAACTGAAAATTCCAGTTCAAACTTCAAGCAAGAGTTGATCCAGCAGCTCCAGTCACCAAAGTGCTAGTTTCTTTCCATTTTTCTGCGTTATCTTTCCAGGGATTGGCTTCATCCTGAAGGTGGATTAATGAAATCACCAACACTGCCATAGCTGCATGGAGGTAACTCAATGTTCTCTAAGAAGGAATAACAGATGAAAATGACTAAGTCATTAGAATCAAGACACTTTTTCATGAAATGATGTATAGATTAAACAGTATTTAAGAAAAAAATAACTTCCTTTGTTGTGAGCCTGCTGAGATCTATGGTGCAGGAACCTGTCTTACCCTTTGCTATTATACAATATTTAGTATGGTAGTAAGGGGAGGCCGTGATGAATACCAACACGTACCCCAGGCTTCACATGTTACACCAAACTGATAGAGAACACTTGGTCCTGCCCCTTTAGTGTACTGGGGAAGTAACTAAGACCCAGAGACGGGGAGTGAACATAAATTTCATTTTGTGAGAACTGAAGACCTTTTAAAATGTGAGTGGGGATCAAGCTTCTGCACACTCAGACTTGTTTATTTGTCAGGAAACAGTACCTGTAAATCAGAGTCTCAGAGTCTTCAACCACTCCAGACCAACTTCAACCCCCAGTGAAAGCTCTGTGGTGCAATTTCAGAAAGCAAGCTCACTTCATTCTGATACCCACAGCTCCTTTTTGCCTTAATATGGTGTTTTCTGAATTGTGATATACATACAACAAAGGATACCTTGTATATTGTGGAAAATATAACTGATATATCAAGCTCATTATTTCACCAAGATTGTTGTTGAAGATGAGATTATAGTTGATGTAGCAGTGGTATTCCGCCTTATATAACCCATTTTTAACTTTAAGTATAGGATTTAGACATACCTATGAACCTTCTACATACTTAACCTTACACCTGAAAGCAAATTTTACACATCACTGCATTCACAGAGAAGCTTTGAATATTCTGGATATGTATGAGATTTGAGAGAAATTTTGATGAAACTTTAAAGACTTTCAATCTCCATGTCAAGCCATTGATTTCTTTGCTGTTTTGTTTAACTTTTTA